TCCCCTGGCCAGGATGCTAATCCACATGGTGCAGCAGACCTCTCTGCTGCTCCCCTCAACAGTGTATTTCAGTAGATCTGCCTGTACTGGTCCCCACTCTGTCTCTAGTGATCCTCTCACCTCCCCCCCACAACTTTGGCCTACACCCCCCACCCCCAGTTCTTGGATGCATAAATAAGTAAAAATAAATCTTAAAAAGAAGTTGACATTGAGGTAAGTATTGAACATAAGTAGTTTGTGTGGGAAATTATCCCACAAAATACCAGTAGGGGGGAAGGGGAAGTAAGTCAATAAAGTTTGCAATATCAAGTCAACTACCCCTTGTGGGCATGGGATGCTCAGTCCCATTGGACACAGTGTAGAGCATGCTTCAGTATGATCCCATTCAAGGAACTCAGAAGTTTAGGTATTTCGCTAAGAACTCCCTGTTTACACAGTGAAACTTCTGGCTTGCTCTCAGTCAGATCTTGTGTGCTCTTGTGGCCAGAAGGAAAATCATAGTAACAACAAAAACCTTCAGACAGAGGGCAATCATAGAAAGCATTCCAATCAAAATTTCAATGTCATTCTTCAAAGAAATAGAACAATTATTGATGAAATTCATATGGAATCACAAAAAACCCCGAATAGCCAAAGCTCTCCTGAAAAAAAAAGAAGGGAATGGAGGCATTACACTCCCAGACTTCAAACTATACTACAAAGCCATAATCATCAAAACTGCATGGTATTGGAACAAGAACAGACATACAGACCAATGGAATCGAATAGAAAATCCAGAAATAAACCCACAGATTTATGGTCAACTAATCTTTGACAAAGGAGCAAAGACTATGCATTGGAGCAAAGAAAGTTTGTTCAATAAATGGTGCTGGGAAAACTGGGTCGCTACATGCAAAAGAATGAAGCTTGACCACTACCTCACACCATACACAAAAATCAACTCAAAATGGATTAAAGAACTAGACATAAGACCTGAAACCATAAAATATATAGAAGGAAATATAGGCGAAACACTACGTGATTTGCACATCAAAGACATCTTTACAGACACATCACCCAAAGCAGTGATAGTGAAGGCAAAGATAAACAGCTGGGACTACATCAAATTAAAGAGCTTCTGCACAGCAAAAGAGACAATAACAAAAACAAAGAGAAACCCCACCAACTGGGAGAACATTTTTGCACCCAACACTAATGATAAAGGACTGATCACAAAAATCTGCAAAGAGCTGATGAGACTCAACAACAACAAAGAAAATAATCCAGTCAAAAAATGGGCAGAAGAGCTAAAAAGAAACTTCTCTGAAGAGGAAATGCAAATGGCCAACAGGCATATGAAAAAATGTTCAACATCACTTGCCATCAGGGAAATGCAAATCAAAACTACCATGAGATACCATCTTACACCAGTGAGAATGGCACATATTAAAAAAACTAGCAACAACAAATGCTGGCGAGGGTGTGGAGAAAAAGGAACTCTTCTGCACTGTTGGTGGGAGTGCAAACTGGTCCAACCACTGTGGAAAGCTGTGTGGAGATTTCTGGACCTACTAAACATAGAGCTTCCATATGATCCAGCAATTCCACTCCTAGGTATTTACCCAAAGGACACAGAAACATCAATTCCAAAGAACACCTGCACCCCTATGTTTATAGCAGCACTGTTTACAATAGCTAAGCTTTGGAAACAACCCAAATGCCCAAAAATAGATGACTGGATCAAGAAGATGTGGTACATATATACCATGGAATATTACGCAGCATTCAAAAAAGATAAACACATGCAATTTGCAGCAACATGGATGGCGCTGGAAGGGATCATGCTCAGCGAAATAAGCCAAAAAGAAAAAGAAAAATACCGTATGGTCTCACTCATAGCAGGAATCTAGAAAACTTAAATAAGGGACCAGGAAAATGAATAACTATAAGAAAGTGAAAATCAAAATCAACAAAAAAACTATGAACCAGAGACACTTTTTTGGGGGGCGGGGCGGGAGGGGAGGGATTGGGGTCAGAATGGGGGGCTGCAATTGTATGGGGAATATAAAAATAAAATTTATTATTAAAAAAAAAAATAATATGGGCAGCAAATGCCCAAAAATAGATGACTGGATCAAGAAGATGTGGTACATATATACCATGGAATATTACTCAGCATTCAAAAAAGATAAACACATGCACTTTGCAGCAACATGGATGGCGCTGGAAGGGATCATGCTCAGCGAAATAAGCCAAAAAGAAAAAGAAAAATACCGGATGGTCTCACTCATAGCAGGAATCTAGAAAACTTAAATAAGGGACCAGGAAAATGAATAACTATAAGAAAGTGAAAATCAAAATCAACAAAAAACTATGAACCAGAGACATTTTTTGGGGGGTGAGGGGCGGGAGGGGAGGGATTGGGGTCAGAATGGGGTGGCTGTAATTGTACGGGGAATATAAAAATAAAATTTATTATTTAAAAAATAATAATAATATGGGCAGACCATTAGATGTATCTGTTGGCAGAAACTACCTTTTGCTACAGAATGAGTGCTTCCTCCTTACCCCTGTAGGAACTGAGTCCATGAATATAACTGAGCAGAACTGTATTCATAATGAATAGCAAGAAGAATGTGTGACCATATTACAGACAAACAGATGCATACATATTTTTGCATCTTTACATAACGCATATCAGAACCAAACTGCAGATCTGAACTAAAGAAGGAAAATAACACTTAATGAGCACCTACACTTGCTACCTGCTGTAAAATTATTCTTATCAACTCTAATTAAATGAAAATAATTAGGAGCTTCTAGAGAAATCAGAGTCACAAAGCACTGAGTTTCATTTTTGTATTTATAAGATTTCTTACCATGGCAAGTATTTAATTTCCCAGAAACTTAGTTTTCTACTGCCTAAAATAACTGCTCACTATTCAGGGATTAACTTAGATAATATATAGAACAATTCAGCACATGCATGCTAAATGTATAATCATAATCATGCCTACACATACACGTCTATATGCACATACACAAATTACTTACATATATGTATGTAACTTTTAGTCTGGTACCTTACAGAACTGAGATTACTGAATCCCATGGCTGCATGACCTGTCCAAGGTGATTCAGCAAGTGAAAAAATAAACAAAGACCTGATATCTGTATTCTTGCAAGGATTTTTTGTTCAAAGATGGATAACAAGTGGAACCAAAGCTAAATGTAAAGTTTTCCTGAAGTGACAAATTTAGTCAAATCTTTAAAAATAGATGAATGATTTTTAAATATCGAATATCTCATTTTAATAATAAATATGGTCTGACTTTTAAGTTCAAGTTGAGTACCTTAAGTTCTTATTATAAGAGATATTTCAAACTTTTTGAATATAACAGACTCATTTAGATATAGCCAACTAGGGAAATTCCTAGTTACTGAAATATACTTACAGAATTCTTAGAGAAATAAGGGCAACCACGTGAACAATCAATACCTTGGATATGATATTAAAAAAGAAAAAATGCCGCTACCACCAAGTCCAAAATGAGTCTTCTATGTATTCAACCTGTCTCACTTTTTTCTGCAATGAGAAATTCTATTCTCCATGATGATCATAGGCCAGAATAACAGATATAAATTCAATCACTATGAACACTGTCACCTGATATGCCATTTAAGGAGACTAGTTTTTCTAAATATCAACTAACATTGCAAATTTCTTAAAATATCTTTTTTTAGTTTCAGTCAACCAGACTCCTTACTTTGCCAGCCTACAAATGTTTTCTTTCTTTTCTTTATTAATCAATATATGTGCTTATCCTTAAAAAGACATTGAATTTAATTATTATCCTCTGTGAAACATCCATATCACTTTAGATTACTAACATTAGGCAAAAGAAATCCATAATCAATGCCCAAGATAAAATCCCCTGTGTGTAGGGACAGGAGTTGGTAGCGAGAGCTGTGATGCTGAGGAAAAGGAGGGTATTACCCAGTGGCGAGTAAGGAGGAGATTTTGAATTGGACCAATAATGGTTCTTTTATATAATTAAAATATATACATCAGTACCACATATATACACATCAGTACCAAACCAAACTTAAAGGAAACATTTCAACTGAATTAGAAGCCTAGTTAATATATTGTTTAAAAACAAGGAAATGTGGCATGTGATCCATGAAGTGACTATTACAGAAAATATTAAATTCAATAAAACATAAAATGGACATTTTAAATAATGAAACAAGAGCCTGAGGAATTTCAGAAGTTGAACTAGGCAAATCAGTGATGCTACAGATAAAACACATTAGCAACATTTTGTCAATAATAAATACTCTAGTATGGAAACTTAGTTTTAATTGTATGACATATACTAGTTAGATTAAAACAGATACAGTAAGATAAGGTTGGATCATGCTATACAAGCATCTTTATTTTTGTTACAGTTACCTAGTCAAAGTGAGTATTTTCCATTGCAAACTTGGTCATTTTCCCTAACTACCTGTTACATATTTACAAGGATCATCTACCTGCAACTCCAAATGTTTAAATCGCCTAAAATCCCCAGTGGCAGGTGAATACCTAATCAAGAAACACAGACATGGAGCAAGTAAATGGATACCTGAATGTTTAAGTTTCTAAAGCGCTTTTTCAACCAACTTGCCTACGTTTTCGAATTTGATTACCAACACTTAAGGGGAAAAAAAATAAAATATTGGCATTGATATTGCGTGCCATTCCGATATACTGTACTTCTCACACCAGCCTTATACACACCCTAGGAAAGCACAGATAGACAAAAGAACAAGCGCCCAATGGATGCAATAAATGCACTGCAAGGATAAGAAAGTGGAAAGAGTTCCTTGTCTCCAGCAATACTCTGCAGTCAAAATGGAGAGTCATATCAGAGCCCCTTTTACTCCTTCCCCCAGTCTCTGGCTCCCTCCTCCCCCCTGCCTCTTTCGCCTCCCCTCGTCGGTCTTTTTTCCAGCTGCATTTCCAGACCACCACTCACCTGTCATCGTTTTGCCATCCTTGGTCCCCCAGCAGCAGATCCCGAAACCTGTACCTGGGAGGCAGAGGCGGCACTTCGCTCTCCAAATCAACCATCCTCCCTCAAAGAGTGGGAAACATTAAACAACAAATGGAGGAGAGGGGGGAGAAAGACAGAAAAATGCTGAGGGGTGGGAAAGCGGACGACCGAAAGGGGGGGCCGCGAGAGGGGCGGGTGCAGCGAAGGGGCCTGGGCCGCCGGCCGGGGGGCGCTCGAGCCGGAAGCCGAGGCTGCCAGGGGCTGGCTCCCCTCTCCGAGGGTGCGATGGGGATGATGCAAAACCAGCCCGGGAGCAAAAGTCTGGCTCTGACAAGAATCGGCGCTGCCAGGGAACCGCCCCCAGGCTCGGCGCCGCCTCTGGTCCCCAGGACGAGGGGGAGGCGGGAAGGCAAAAGTTACTTCCCCGGAAAAATAAAACAAACGCGCGGTGCCTGTAAAGAGGGCGGGGGTGGGGGTGCGCGCGGCGGCCCCGGGGAGCACTTTCCCAACTGGCAGATGAAGACCCCGCTCCGCAGGCAGCGGGTCGGCTGCCGCCCCCCGGGCGGGCGCGCGCACCCGGCTCCGCGCAGGGCAGCGCGGGGGCAGCGCGGGGGGCAGCGCGGGGGCAGCGCGGGGGCAGCGCGGGGATGGGTCCCGACGCCGTCGCCGCCCGCGCCGCCGCCGCGCCAGGCCGAGCCATGGCGACGCCCCCGCGTTAGCTTAACACGGTGGCGGAGGGGAGGTGCCCGGGGACCACCCTGGGGGGAGCTTCCACTGCGGCTTCCCGGGCTCCAGACCGTTCTGCGGGAGTCGGGAGCCGCGGGGTTGTCGGGGTGTCCCCTGTGCATCCCCAGCTCCTAGGCTTTGATCGCCTTGAGCTGAGGTGGGCGGGCTGGGAAATACGCGTCCTGGAGAGGGAATCCCCGCTCCCAACCTAGGAAAGTCCCTTTTTTTTTCTCTCTCCCTCGCTCACAATCTCAAAAAGGGAGGTGTTTTCCCCATCCTGGAAAAGAAGGGAGCACCACTTAAGACCGCTGAAAGCAAGCGTTTAGGTGAGGGTAGGAAAGCGCATTTAAAGGCGGGGAGGGTCTACACTCGTCCCCGACTGCCATCGCTCTAGCAGCAGGGTGGGCTTCCAGGCTGCAAGGCTAAATTTAGCCTTCGATGTGCTCCCCAGGGGGAATGTAAAGGGAACCCGAATCCAGAGTTGGTTTTTCATTATCAGCCGCTGCTTTTGTCAACCAGAAGCTTTGCGCTTACCGATCTTCCACCAAGACCTGATTCCATCAGGGTATTTGCAGACGAATACTTAGCCACCTGAGATACTGAGTTTAAGGATACAGAGACCATATCCTTGCTTAGGCCTTAGGAATCTGTTTGCTTGAAGGCATAAGCTTGTAATTGAAGTGATACTTTATGAGACAAAGTAATTAAAGAACATATAAAGAGATGTGGAAATACCTGAGGGATAGATAACACACTTACTCCTGGAGGGGGTCAAGGAAAACATTAAGAACAAACTAAGCCTGCTGTTAAGCCTTTGCAACCTACTTAAAGGGAAGGAAAACAAGCAAGCAGGGAAAATATCATGAGTAGAAGTAAAGTAATTTTGTTTAATGTTTGGTTTACTTAGGGGACAGTGATTGATTTGTTATGATTAATTCTTAATGGAGTCATGTAATGAAGGTATTATACAGAAAATTAAAAATTCCAGAAGAAATAAGCAACATGGTAATATCAGGTAAAGTAGGATGAGTACCTAAACATGAAAAATTCAGTGGAAATAAAATAGTCATATCCTGTCTCTGGCTTCTAAGTTCTACCCACTCTTCCAGATCCATCACAAATGACCTATGCTCTATTAGATTTCCTGATTCCATCTCTTAGCAATGATCTGGTCTTCCTTGAACCCTTTTTACCTCTTGTATTTTGCTTGTAGTACTTACTAGATTCTGGCATGTTGTATGATGTGATTTTCTCACATCTATCCTCCTCCCTGCGGTTTATCTAATGCAGTGTCTTTGAAATAACAAAATCTCAACAAGTATTTGTGGAAAGCATTAAAAATTTTAAACTTAGGAAATAAATAATTTTCACATTTGCTTTAGCTCAGGATTCACTGTATTTGTCTATATTTCTTTTGCATGAACTTTGTAATCATTTGGCAAATGAGAAAGTTATATCACATATTGTCAGTTTGCAAAGGGGAAAAAAGGAGACTATCTGGTTCATATTTTGAAACTCCATCTACTATTAAGCTAGCCCTTTCAGTGTTTCAGATTAATATTTTCATTTATATTGTTATACTCTTTTTATTTATTTTTTTGGCTTATAAACAACAGATATTTATTTCTTTTTTTATTTTTATTTTTTATAATAAATTTTATTTTTATAATCCCATACAATTGCAACCCCCTTATTTTGACCCCAATCCCTCCCCTCCCGCACTCTACCCCCCACAGAGTGTCTCTGGTTCTTAGTTGTTTGATGATTTTGATTTTCACTTTCTTATAGTTATTCATTTTCCTAGTCCCTTATTTAAGTTTTCTAGATTCCTGCTATGAGTGAGACCATCCGGGATTTTTCTTTTTCTTTCTGGCTTATTTCGCTGAGCATGATCCCTTCCAGCACCATCCATGTTGCTGCAAATTGCATGTGTTTATCTTTTTTGAATGCTGAGTAATATTCCATGGTATATATGTACCACATCTTCTTGATCCAGTCATCCATTTTTGGGCATTTGGGTTGTTTCCAAAGCTTAGCTATTGTAAATAGTGCTGCTATAAACATAGGGGTGCAGGCGCTCTTTGGAATTGATGTTTCTGTGTCCTTTGGGTAAATACCTAGGAGTGGAATTGCTGGATCATATGGACGCTCTATGTTTAGTAGGTCCAGGAATCTCCACACAGCTCTCCATTGTGGTTGGACCATTTTGCACTCCCACCAGCAGTGCAGAAGAGTTCCTTTTTCTCCACACCCTCGCCAACATTTGTTGTTGCTAGTTTTTTTAATATGTGCCATTCTCACTGGTGTAAGATAGTATCTCATGGTAGTTTTGATTTGCATTTCCCTGATTACAAGTGATGTTGAACATTTTTTCATATGCCTGTTGGCCATTTGCATTTCCTCTTCAGAGAAGTTTCTTTTTAGCTCTTCTGCCCATTTTTTGACAGGATTATTTTCTTTGTTGTTGTTGAGTCTCATCAGCTCTTTGCAGATTTTTGTCATCAGTCCTTTATCATTAGTGTTGTGTGCAAAAATGTTCTCCCAGTTGGTGGGGTTTCTCTTTGTTTTTGTTATTATCCCTTTTGCTGTGCAGAAGCTCTTTAATTTGATGTAGTCCCAGCTGTTTATCTTTGCCTTCACTATCACTGCTTTGGGTGATATGTCTGTAAAGATGTCTTTGATGTGCATATCACGTAGTGTTTCGCCTATATTTCCTTGTATGTATTTTATGGTTTCAGGTCTTATATCTAGTTCTTTAATCCATTTTGAGTTGATTTTTGTGTATGGTGTGAGGTAGTGGTAAAGCTTCATTCTTTTGCATGTTATACTCTTTTTATATTCAGCATGATCTAGAATATTTATATAACAGATTCAGAATCATGGCACTAAAAGAAAAATATAGCTATTAAGTGTTTTTGATTCGTGACATGCTGGAGTTTAGAAAGTAAAGCAACAGCATTTTACTTAAAAACTATGTGCCCTTATTTTACACTTTTGTGATGGTCTTGGTAGGCTTTTATTTTTTTTTAATTTAAATTTTATTTTTATATTCCCCATACAATTACAACCCCCTTATTTTGACCCCAATCCCTCCCCTCCCCGCCTCTCACCCACCATAGAGTGTCTCTTGTTCATAGTTATTTGTTGATTTTGATATTTTCTTTCTTATAGTTATTCTTTTTCCTGGTCCCTTATTTAAGTTTTCTAGATTCCTGCTATGAGTGAGACCATCCGGTATTTTTCTTTCTGGCTTATTTCGCTAAGCATGATCCCTTCTAGCACCATCCATGTTGCTGCAAATTGCATGTGTTTTTCTTTTTTGAATGCTGAGTAATATTCCATGGTGTATATGTACCACATCTTCTTGATCCAGTCATCTATTTTTGGGCATTTGGGTTGTTTCCAAAGCTTAGCTATTGTAAACAGTGCTGCTATAAACACAGGGGTGCAGGTGCTCTTTGGAATTGATGTTTCTGTGTCCTTTGGGTAAATACCTAGGAGTGGAATTGCTGGATCATATGGAAGCTCTATGTTTAGTAGGTCCAGAAATCTCCACACAGCTCTCCATAGTGGTTGGACCAGTTTGCACTCCCACCAACAGTGCAGGAGAGTTCCTTTTTCTCCACACCCTCGCCAACATTTGTTGTTGCTAGTTTTTTTAATATGTGCCATTCTCATTGGTATATGATGGTATCTCATGGTAGTTTTGATTTGCATTTCCCTGATTACAAGTGAAGTCCAGTGGTCTTCCAGTAGTGTGGTTTTCAGTCTCCATGAGGTAGGAGATTTCCTTGCCTTTTTTTTATGGTTTATTTCTAGTTTGATGCCTTCATGGTCAGAAAAGATGGTTGGTATGATTTCAATCTTGGTGAATCTGCTGATGTTTGTCTAGGGTCCCAGTATGTGATTGATCCTGGAGAATGATCCGTGTGCACTTGAGAAAAATGTGTACTCACATTTTCTGGGGTTTAGTGTTCTATAGATGTCTGTTAAGCCCAAGCACTCTAGATCCTTATTTAGAGCTTTAGTGTCTTTACTTATTTTTTGTCTCGTTGATCTGTCCATTGTTGATAGTGGTGTGTTGAAGTCTCCCACTACTATGTGTTTTCTCTGATGTCTGTTTTCAAAGATGATAATAGTTGTCTGATATATTTTGGTGCTCCTTCATTTGGTGAATATATGTTAATGAGTGTTATTTCTTCTTGAAGTATTGTTCCCTTGATCATAATGTAGTGACCACTGGGGTCTCTTTTTACCCTTTTGAGTTTGAAATCTGCTTTATCTGATATAAGTATAGCTGTTCCTGCTTTCTTTTTTGGTCCATTTGCTTGTATGAAGCAAATCAGAAGACAGACAGTAGGAAAAAGAAAAACTACAAGCAAAGTAGCAACACCTCAGAAAAAAGACACACCACAAAAAAAAAAAAAAAAAAAAAAAAAAACCCACCCACCAGCTTGCAACCACAGTGACTTGGAAGAACTTC